GAATTCATGACTCCTACTAAATTATATATATATATAATATATATTTTTTTTAATTTTATTAATTTTTTGAATTACCAAATCGAAATTCACACAAAAATTTTAGCGAAAAATAAAAATGACACTAATATACAGACATTTACATGCGCGTACATATTTTCATAAATTATTTAATATTAAAAACACTAATGACTAAATGAAGTAAGACAACTTTACTTCGGCATACAATTAGCCTTTTTATGAACGTATTTAAGCCAGTTAATCTACATTGGCTGTTGCTCACAATTTAGCCCTTTTTTTATTTCCACGCAGAGTTATATGATATGTGTTGTCATTGAGGTGATGAACTCCATCAAAGATTTCTAAAAATATCAAAAAATAAGTTAAATATTTTGATGCCTTCATATTCGGTCAACGTCAGTCCATCGCTTTTATGTACATACGTGTTGTGTTGACCATGATATTATTCAGCCCTATCACGCAATCCAAAGCAAACCAGATCTGAACTGACTGTCATTTGCATTAAAGCACTTTGGATATACATATATAAGGGCTTGGTATAGGGCCTTGTTATTAGCCTGTGTTGCGTTTTGCGTGGAACAGTTGTCTATCATTGGGTTGATTTTTGTCGTGAAGTCCTCCTGTTTTTGTTTGTATTTATCTAAGTTGGTGGGGTATGCTAGCATTTTATTATTGGACGTTATTGCGTTTTCTAATGTTGCTTGTTTCCATACTTCCATGGTCTTTTGTGCATTCTTATTTTGTTGTAGTTCGTTCTCGCGACTTTGGCATACGAGAATTGTTGGTGCATATGCTTCATAGCTTCTGTTGTATTGTTGTATGTTTGTATCTTTCTCCTTTGTTGCAGTTGGGGAAATTTCCTGTCAAGGACAGCGTTGATGTTAAATAGTTCGAAGCAGTTTCCCAGTAAATTTTTGTACTTTGCTTGTGCCTATTTGATAGTGAGATTTTTTAGGGTGATTATCCTTTTAATTGCGTAGGCCTTGATTCTTGCTGGGTAGTCTTTGTTTGTAGCTTGATGGTTCCCTTTGCAATTTACGCATTGTTCCTTGCTGCACTTTATAATGTTAGCGTGCGTAATTACAAATTTTGCGCTGATCGAGTTTATCTGCTTGCAATGCTGTGTGAAATGGTTTGAACTGGAGCAACGGTAGGTAAATGGTTTCACCTTTATCTTGGTGTAGGCGAACGTTACTTCCCCCTGTACTTCCAGACCATCAAACACTATTTTAACTCTCCGTGTGAGAAACTTCATCCCCTCCTGTGTCCTGTTCACTCTCATTGTTTTCAGGATTTTTATTGGTGATACAGTGTTTTCCTTTAGCTCCTCTTCCGTAATATCAGCTGGTATGTCGAATATTATGCTCTATTTTAGATACAAAGTGGGCAAAAATCTTCGCTTCGTATTGCTCGCTTATTTTTTCACAAAATTTTTTTGCTGCTTTCCTGTTTTTAAATGTGATTTTGTAATTTCCAGAATGTCCTCCGTTTTGTTACCCTGTAACCATTTGTTTACCGAGATCGCGTCAATTGGTACTCTTCTTTATCGTTTTTGGTTTTTTTGTCTAGGTACACAATATAGGATCCTTTATGGGTATCGTTGTACTTATAGTTTACGTGGGTCGGTCGCATCTTTTGTTCCTGCGTGTTTGGTGTATTGCCTGCGGATTGTTTCGTTGTTGTTTTTCTTCGGCTATTGCTTCGGCTCCTTAGGTTGTTATTGGCTGGGGAGCTGCCTGACTTCTCGTCTTCGAGGTGCATTTTGTTTGTTCTTGTCTTTATTTTAACTCTTTTAATTTGTGTCTGTATATTTGTAGTATGCCCGTTTTTTTTAATTCTTTGTTGATATAATTTATACATATATTTGTTTTCATTTTTTTCTTTCAAGTTTAGTGTTGGTTGCTCTCGAGTACACGTCTATTCACTATCACTGTTTACTCGCCTATGAGTTGAATTTTTTATGTGTTTGTTGGTATTTAATTCTGATGTGCATTGTATGTAGAGCTGTATGGTTAAATTAAGAATACCTGGAAAACATTAAGTTATTAGTGTTAATAATATTTATATTCAAATTCAAAACTCACCTGAGAGGAATGTTGTGGGTTTAAAGGGCATCTTAAAGAATAGTCAAATGAAAGAAGGACAACAGCAAGGCATACTAGTTACATATGTATAGGCATACCATAATATTAGTTAGTGTGTGCTTCTCTTGTTGTTGTAACGGGTTCCTAATCACCATTAGGATGGTAAGGATCAGTTAAGTTGTCATCGAGGTTATTGAACGGTAGGCCCAGAAACGTGCTGTTTCGACGGCCTCGGACCAAAGGGTATACGGTGTCAGATGTGTAGGGTTAGCGATTCATCTAGCGTGCTTCTCTACGTTAATGCTGATAGTTGTAAAATCCGTATATGTTTTTTTGGAAGAAGTGGTTTTCATGGTACTGATCATATTCAAAAGCTATGAAGGTAATACACGTCGTTTTTACAATTTAATGACAACTATTTTTAGGAGTTTATAAGAATACCTGTAGTGAATACTTTTTATGTGTTGAATGTAAGTTTTAATGCCACAAAAATTTGGTTCCAAATAGTGTGAACACCCTTTGTGGTATTTATTTAGTAAAAATATTTTATTTTTTTTATTTTTAGCTTTCGAAAAAAAGCAAAACGTATTTTTTTTA